CTGTTTTTGTCCCATCTTTTATCATAAACACGATATTGTGGACAGAACGATTCATGGCCTTGCAAATTCGGCCGTAGTTAATGAACACAGTTATCTTCTCTTCCCCCGGGAGCTGCTGAGCAAAGCTAACTGCGTATGGCCAATACCCGAGCGGGATATCGTCAGCTTCAGATTGAAGAAGTCTAGCACCGCCTTTGTTGTCCAACAGGATCCTACCGCGAAAAAAGGGTAGCGTCACGTACGCCATCGGTTTCGAGATTGCTCTCTTCCAAAGGAGTTCATATTTGAATGGTGATAGTGTTGTTTGCTTCTTGATCACGCTAGCAAGGTGAAAACGTGACGACGGCTCTGACCTCTCCTCGTTCTCTGATTTCGTTGCGTCGTTGCAAAGTAGCGGTATACTATGCAGGTCAAGATGGTTGCAAGCTCTCATCACCTGCTCGCGAATCGTTCCTGGTACCGTCGTCAATGCAGGAGTTCCATGCTTGAACACTCTTTGCATAGAATTCAGGGTGGAGAAGTCCTGGTACCGGCTGAGCTGAAGTACGTTGTCAACAACGTAGACAGAACACAAACAAAAAGATCGCTCGCAATTTCTGAGCACGTGGGGCTGAAGCGTACTGAGAGGACTGTCATAATCCACCTGGAGGTCTGATCCGTCTCCACTAAGAGATAGTAACGAGTAGACGACGTCCTGACACAGTTGCGATTTCTTGGAAGCAAACTGGTTGATCAGAAAAATAATGCTTCGACCATGTAGTTGCGCTGTTGCCGAAGGTAGCAGTCTGGTGATTTCCGCCGGATAATGCTCATGTTGAGGCAGTGACGCAAAATCCCATTCCGCGTCTCCAGCACATAGTGTGACTCGTTTCGCGAGTACCACTTCCTGCGTGATCCAAGCACGAGTCCAGTATTCTGAGTAGCGAAATCGATGCCGCCCTTTCCGCTCCATTGTACCAAGTTCAAGGCGATTGTCTGCAACTGGCGTGGCATCCTTCTCTCCATGCTTTTGTCGGACCCATTGAAGATAGGCAGAAATCTCAGCACTATCACCCAGCCAGGACATGACTTCCTCAGCGCTAGAGAATACAAGGCCCATCTGCTGTACTTGGTGATTCCGCTCCCCAACGTTGGTTTGATCAATGCACAGAGCATCAATCCACAACCATTGTCCTCGAAGTCGATCTTTTCGCGTTGCAGCATCAAGAAAGCTATGGAGATTACATCGTACTCTCATGATTCTGTCGTTGACCATGATATAGTGCTCATCCCCTGGCTCACCCCAGACATAAGAGAGACACACGTACGAATCGTCGACGTATGTATGACGAATTTCGCACTGGATATAGCCCTCGTGGGTTCTTGTTGCAAGAACGCGGATTAGACGAATGGATGCTTTGCGATGATCGAGGGGAGCGTACGCGAATCTTCCGGCTGGGGGTTGCGGCTGCGATTCGTTGTGGAAGCTTAGTTGGACATGGTCTGTCATCGTCGAACAGTTCAGCGCTGGATATATGTAAATACACCGAGCGAATAAGTTTGCGCGATCATGGATTGTGGAGTGTGCGTGAACGAGAAGTATGGGATGTTGGAGCCTAGGCAGGTAAATGGCATAACCGCGAGTGGGGCAGTGCAGAGCTACGTAGCTGCACGCAAGCAACCCCTCGTCCAATAGTTCGTAGACACACTCATTTCCTTAGCTCCGCGATTATTCCGCGCCAGGCAGGAATGAAGCCTTGTGCGGCCAAAGCTATGTATGTTCGGTCTCGCAGTCCATGCTGCTGAATATGCCTGCTGTCCGCGGATATGAACATGGCGCTACGAGCTTCAACTTCCCCATTCGCAATTGCAATACGGTGAGAAGAGTGTGCACTTGATTATGCTGTCAGGGTAGTTGACAGACTACAATTAATCTTCATCGCTGGAAGAGTAGCTAAGAACCAACAGATGATATCGTCATTAGCTTAATTTACCCGTGCGTGACGCGAACGACGCGAAGAGAGCAGCCGCATCGCAGGGCCGTCATGAGACGACGCCGATTTTGTCCCTACATCAGCTACACGGGCGCATAGCTCGCTGCGATAGTCTCGATCAAGTTGGGCGAGTTTCACAAGGAAATCGAAAGAAAACCTCGCTTTATAGCTCTCTTTGTCGTTCGTCAATCGCAAGGAGCAGTCGTAGGGTCGCACGGTGAGCTCCGTGGATTCCAGCTCCAGGGAGCGTACTCTTCTACTCCATCGGCCAGCGAAACCGGGAACGTGAGCTACCTCGTCAAGCTTGACGAAAGTATACTCGTAGGACTCGCATATTCTGCCCAGATAGAGATGTATCGACAGTAGCTTACTAGAAGGCGATACTACCACGAAGCCTGGTAAATGGGATTGCTGTGTACCGTTGCAACTTGGATAGCAACTATAATATGATTCGCTTGAGCACGAGGCGCGGAGAAAATCTTTCGAAACGATAGGTAGCGTCATCGTTGCAAACGATGAGAGCTTATCGTTCCAAGCCACATCGCTCGGATCCGGAGACTTCAGCTGTAGAATGAATGCAACCAGGTTGGTGGCGCACAAGCAGAACGACTTCTTGCAACACCTTAAGATATGTTTTGCCACTGCGAGATCCGTAGCTTTGTAGTCGACCTGTAGATCTTTCCCTTCGCCGCAAAGCGCAAGTAGTGAATAGACACGATCTCGGCTGATGTGTGCCTCCTTAAGCTTAAACCGGTTCATCAGATAGATAAGACTTCTACCCTTCCAGTCCATAGTGATAGTTTGACGGAGAAGTTCGAGTCGTGTAAGGTAGCCCCTTTCCCAATTCGAAGATACTGGGAATAATGAGCCGTCCAGTTCCATGTCAGCGGCCATGAGCGTTATCTTCCGTGCAAGCCCGAGCTCTTGCGTAATCCATGCCCGATCCCAGTACTCAGCAACGCAAAGATGGTGAAAGCCCTGCCCAGATTCAGGATGTCCCAAAGTCGGTTTCTTCTTATCTTTTGCGCACTTTTCGCTCATAGTACGTGGTCGTAGGTACTCCAAAAACTCGGCGATTTCGGCGTCATCTCCCAGCCATGACACCACATCCTTCGCTCGGCTGAAAATCACGCCCATTTGTTGTACCTGGTGATTGCGTTCGGAAGGATCGTTCTGGTTGATGCAGAGGGCGTCGATCCAGATCCACGCACGTGACAAATGCTTGATTCGTCTCGCCCGTGTGAGGAATCGATGTAGGTTGTGACGCACTTTGAAGGGTTTGCCGTCTATGAGAATAGTGTAGCGTTCGTCATCACCGCCCCATACATATGAGAGACAGATATATGAGGCTTCTGTAGTAGCGTGTTTGATCTTGCATTTAACGTGACCGCCGGCGGACTTTTCGCTTAGGAGTCGTATGAGTCTGATTGAGGAAGTCTGTCGGTCCAAAGGCCGGTACTGAAAAGAACGAGACATGCGTATGTCAACGCTCGAAACCCAATTTTCGGGTGGCTGCTGGTTTGTATGAAGTTCCGCGCGAAGAGAGAAGGTAGCGGAAATGTGAAACTGGTATTGCTGAGGGTTGGCGGGATTGGGGCGGTGCCAGAGTACGGGTGACGACAAATATAAGCAGGTAGTTCATAGAGGCGGTGCGTGTGCAAGCGGAGCGGGGCAGTTTAAGGAAGAAGAGTTGCAAGCCATACTCGATTCGAGCATACTGCTTACGCCGGAATTCCAAAAGACTGCCTCACAAGAATATGCGCCTTTGATCCAGACTGGGGCCCGGAACTGGGTCGCGTTGGTTCGCTACACACTTCTGCAGTGTCAATAAGAATTAGAGGTATCCTGTATGCTTCGTGATTATCATCATCTAGCTAGACAGTGCTATGAGATAGCATGCTAAGCGGGCTTTCAGAATATCTCTAGACCTACTATTTTACGGCGCAATGTACTAGCAGATTGTCTGCAGTATGCGGAGGTGACGTTGATGTCTGAGGCGAGCAGTTGAAATTATTCCGTCGGTTGCAAAGATAGCGAGAGACTGCGACGGCCATGTTCATGGTTCTTGCAGAAATCGTGGTCGGAATGAACGAAGGCAGGCTGCGAGCGAGCCGGAGCCCCACCTCGACGGGACCGTGCGTTGACACGTTCGCCACCGGAAGACCTCGGGATAGCCAACTGTCCCATGGCCTAGACGACCGCACTTCCCACAAACAACGCTTTGCACACTTCATTTCACGCGGAACGCAGACCTGATATCGGCACAGCGACCGCAGCTTTTGGATATAGTATGCCGACTTCCAGGCAGATGGCTAACTCGAACGATTGCCAGCTCTCATCAGAATTCATCCCTCGATGACTTCAAGCTAATGGAGTGTAGCAAAAGTTCGCATACTTGGATCTGGAGCGGTTCGTCACTATGCAAGGAGCCGCTTGAGACGGTATGCTCGCATCGTAGCGGTCTCTGACCAATATGGCAAAGCTCCCATTGCCGTCAGTCTTTAGCAATCGTGGCACACATTCCTGTTCTCATGTTGTCCTATATCATCCTATTGCCTAAAGCTATCGTATTCCTACGAGGTCTTTGTGTAATTACGTTCTGCAGTGGGCATCGAAATTACAGACAACATGCTGCTCGCGGCTTTGGACTCGTAGCGTCTACTTTCTTTGGTCCTTTGGTATTTTTGCCATGAATGGAGCAAGGAAATCGAAAGAGCACAGTGGCAATAAATGCTCATCTCATGTATATACCAAGGCGTGTGTTGGTCGCGGTTTAGTTGCAGGGATGCGGCGCCGCTCCGTCACCGCGTCGTGTGCAATAACTCTGTAGCCTTTTTTCGTCACCGTTGCCTACGCAACAGTTTCTGTGTCTGGAACTCACCTTCACCGCGAGTGTGCACAAAAGAATTTGGACTTCCACCTCAACGCTTTCTTTTCCTCTCACCACCACCAACTTTTGACTCCAGCCAGCTTGCGGCACGACCACTACGCATTGTCACCACCGTCGCACACGTTGCATTACCAAAGATGGGGCTCGCGCCTCTACTCGTTGATACCTATTGCACGTACAAGAAGGGTACTGGCAACTTCGTCCAATGGCTTGCAGAGACGGCTCGCGCCACCGGCACCGTCAACAACGTCTTCAAGGACGGCCATCACGAAGCAGTACAGCCTACTGGAGGGAGACTCAAGGGCGCTGCTAGAAAAGAGGCCAAGAAAGCTGGATTGACGCAGAACGCTACCGCCACATGTCAGATCCCAGCCAAGTCATTCCTCACCCTCGCGACCGCTATCGCCGGCGACACACACGCATCAGTCCCGCGCTCGGTGTTCACGACATTGCGCGCCGTCATCCAAGGCCGTAAAGACTGCGCGGTCTGGTACGCGATGACCTCCGACCGTGAGGATATTGCCGCCAAAGCAAACAATGCGAGCCACAGCCACTTCATCAAGCTCTTGGAAGATGTCTTCGAAATTCTCAAGGCTAAACAGCCGCGAGCCGAACATCAATCGCCCAAGACCACCAAGCTAGACCCTGTGCCCAGCACGAATATGTATAGTCTCTTGCAAGACGAAGCGCTCTCAGAGATTGGAGAAATGCCAGAAGTCATCGAGAGCCATGTCCGACCGACCAAAGAGAAGGTCACTTACAAGCTCGAAACATCCGACGCCGACGTCTCTTTCGCCATCTTTTGCTTCTTTAAAGACGCTACGCATCTTAGACTGGCTGTTCGGCGCACCTGGCGCGAATTTGCGAAGGGCGACATTGGTCTTCAGGCCGCCGCGCTGACCATGAACGCTGCCTTGACTATGATTGAGAAGTTGAGCAACGAGTTCGAGGAAGCCAACCCACGGTTCAAGGACGCTGAGACTCAGTGGATGCACTTGGAAATTACCAAGTTCGTTCACGACAGCTACAGCAAAGATGGAGAAGGTACAACTTTCATCGATGCAGGCGATGAAAATCATGATGCTTTTGCGTACAAAGAAGGAAAGCAGATGCTGCGTTCGGACACTGTAATGTGCACGCATACAACGGACCTGCTGCTCAGCATCTTCTTCGCAAGAAAGAGCCAGGAAGAATGCCGACTTACCAACGATGAGAAGAGATTCTTGAAGTGTGTTTCGCAACTTCCATGCGCGGGAAGTGGAGTGATCGTTCTCGAAAGCTGTATGGTGCAGAAAGCTGCAAGCACCATGCTGATTAAGCAACAGCTAAACAGTTGGATCATCTTTTGCTTACAAATCTTCTGGGATATGCAGAGAGAGTTGGGCTCTCGCCTACATGTTGGTAAGGCACTCTTCGACAAGACTGGACAACAGCTTATCAAATGCTACCAAAACTACCTTGACACTCAAGGTCTTGAGGACATCGGCATTACTCACAAAATCTTCCGCGATGACATTATCAAGCGCAAGGACTACATCCAGACTCTCATCAATGATGCAGGACTTCAGCAGACGTTTACGCGAAACGAACAACGAACAGGTCAGGTTTTTGGTAACATTCGCGACTTCTCGCTGCTCAAGTGTGATCCTGCGCTCTGCGGCCTGTTCTTAGCTGGTATCCGCCATGAGTACCATAGGACAGCCATTGACATGGCATCCAACCAGGGAATCATCCTCGTTGCAGCTCATCTCTACAACGCCGTGAAGCAAACAGGATGTTTACCCAGAGATCTTCAGTGGGCCGACATGGACTGGCTCATCGAGCAGCAAGGTAGCGACTGGATGTTCGTGGGTAAGAAACCAGAGGGCGGTGTTGACTTTGGAAAGCACGTGAATCTTGCCATGGGTTTGTCCGCGCATAAGTTCACCAAGGATTACAACTCTCGAAAGCCTGGTAAAGAGGTGGAGACCAAGGTCGGCGGAGCGCGGCGCTTCAAGTATCACGCCCGATACTCTGAGCTGGGTTTCAACAGAGAGCCGCGGCGCAAGAAACAAACTGGGGGGAGCAAGGCACAGAACGATGTGCTAATCATGGTCGAGTCACTGGTCAACGATTATCAAGATCCAGCTTACGACAATCGCAAAGGTCTATCTTCTCTGGAGAAACTTCGTGTCTTCAAGCTAGCAATCGAGAAGGATGAGCCAGCCCTTGCCTTTGACGTCATGGAGTTGTTTCTGCGATGCCTCCAAGTTTTACAGGATATCCAGAAACACGCCGTAGTCGTTGCGCCACACGATTACTCAGAGTTAAGGTTCATCCGGGGTATACCTATGAACGCTGTGGTTTGCGAGATGCTATATGACTTGAGCGGCAAGGAGAAACGGGTTCATCAAAGCATTTTCCCGGTCGCCGCCGCCATACTGCGCAAGAAGATTGAGAAGGAAGGCGACGCGGTTCTTCAAAAGGCTCAAGTATGGCAAGACGAGACGAGGATTGAACTGGTCGACGACAAGAACGAAGATGAGCCCAGTTTCGAAAATCCAGATGAAGACACAATGGCCGTGGAATGGCGCAACAAATTCGGTTGCATCGTATTCCAAGATGCGAACGGGGACTGTCGGATGCCTTACGGTCCTCCGGTGTAAAGTGAAACAACCGCTACGCACCCCACCTCTTGGCCTGGCTGTACCTGCTGACCCGACTGAAGCGCCTGTTGGCGGGACCTTTGGAAACCAAACGAAGGAGAATTCGATCATCCCACGGGAGCTAAGCGCGTCGCATAGCGTCTAAACTAGCAATGCACACGTATGTCTAATACGATCCTCTCCCTTGTAGCATGACTGACGTGGAGTGAAGTTCCTGCTCATTTGGCTTGGAAACAATACCTAACAGCAAGCGAATGGTGATCCATATGCGTGGAGAGCAACCGCACCAGTAGTGAGAAAGCACGTACCTCAGCGCGCTGTCTTCATCTTGATCCCGATGATTGAATGCCCGAATTAATTGTAGCCAGTCTCTCTATCTACAGCATTACAGCCATGGCCCCTAGCAGCATGAAGAGCCCTCCACTCAGACTCTTACCCACCACAGCACCAGACTCACCCGTCTGCTCGGCCACAGCCGCACTACCCGTCGCACTTCCCGTCGGCGTCACACTAGCCATACTCGCGCTCCCCGTAACATTCCCCGTCTCCATCGCATGCTCCCCGCCCACACCCCCATCCACATTAACATTAACCGTCGCACTCGCACTCGCACTAGCACTAGCCTCCGTCTTCACCCCCGAACTACTCGCACTAGAACTCTTCTCCCCACCATCCTCACTCCCACTCTTCTTCACTTTCCCATCCCCGCCATCAACAACAATACTCTCAAAAGACCCACTCAAATCGCCATACTGATAGCTAGAACCAGGATTCTGATTCCTCACCTCCACCTTCTCCACCACCATTGTAAAAGGCGCAGCGCTGTAATCCGTTTCGCCGCCCGCCCACTCGATGGTTCCCTGGGCGTTGTTGGGGTCGCCGCCGGCCCAGATGCCGATGCGGACGTTCATGGGGGTTTGCGGGTAGTTTGAGCCGCCGTTTGCGTCGGAGTAGGAGAGTGTGCGTTTTGGGGTGCCGTCCACGAGCCAGGTTGTGGAGGTGGAGGTCCAGGCGATGGTGTAGTTGTGGGAGGTTGATTGGGTGTCGGGAATTGGGGCGTCGACTTCGCGGTCGTGGGTTGTGGTGTTGCCTTTGCCGAAGTAGTTTGCTGTGGGGTGTGTTAGTGGGGGAGTTCTTATGGGTGGATACGGAGGTGTAAGGTCAGGAACAATGGTGGAACACTTACTTTGTACGTTCCCGGGTTGTCCACCTAGCCACTCCCAATCTACCTCATCTAGATCGTCACTCTCCAGAATGGCACTGCTCACTACGCCCTTGCCGGGCGCAGCTTTCATGACGAAGCTCACGCTGCCGAAAAAGATGTACCAGTTCGATTGGATGGTGGGTGCATCGCCGGCTTTGTTGATGGTGAACTCCGCTCCTTTCGATGTGTACTTCACATCGCCAGCGGTGACCTTCCAGTTCTCATCGTCGGCACCGGTGGTGAAGTCGTGGGTGTAAACTGACTCGGAGAGTGCGGTGTCTGCTGGGCAGGATTTCTTGGTTGGGTCGCAGTCTGTCGATGTTTGGGCGAGAGTTTGGGTGGCTGAGAAGAGGATGAGGGAGATGGGGAGTAAGGAGACGTTGGGGAGATGCATTATGGAAGGTGTAGAATTAAGTCGCTCTTCTGTTGGTGTTGTGAACGAATGACTTTGGAAGAGAGAGATGACAGAGACAGCGACAGTGGACTCGACGAAGTGAACAAAATAACTCTTGAAGCAAGAGGCTGAAGATAAGCACCACAAGGAACCCGCGTACCCACCTACTTTAATCACAATCTACAAAGCTTGCCATGCTCAACCCTCCGCGTGGCACGCACCTCCCTCATCGCCGCAATCAAGGGGGAGAACCGCACCACACCAACTCTCCACAGCCCCCCGTCACTGTGGGTCCCTTGAATTACCATCGTCAGCTCCCAGATCACTCCCTGTACCCAAAGATACGGGTGCCAGGACCAAGCATCCACCATTGATAGCGAGGACAGCAGCAGCGGGAACGAGAGGGTCAGGAGTGGTTACGCGAATTACAGGTACCAACTCTCGGCCCGTGTTAAAGCCGCGTGGGTTAATGACGACGCTCGACCCACTTGGCGATCCCGGAACTCAATATATGCGAGCTGGGAGTGTGGCTGGTGTGTCTTGCTAAGTATAGGTACGCGAACACGATGATGGGGGATTTGAGTTTTTGTACGACTTCGGCTTTTATCATTCTCTGCATTTGATAGGGCGATTTCAGGCATTGCTTGTGTCGATTATACGAAATGTGTGGGTTGTGAGTGGGTGGCGCGCTGGGGCATCCTCAATGCTTGTACGGACGGCGTGTGGGTCATCGCGGTACTGGTACCGAGGTTCTTGTACGACAGACACGATGTACATAACAAGTGCGGGAGATATACGGTGTTGCATTGATTGTTGTGGTGGCACGATGATGTCGCATACGCTCTGCCGCCGCGACATCCAACTACTACCTAGGTACTTTAACGACCGGCGCGGAAGGAATGTGGGTAGCAGACACATTCACAGGCGTTAATTCTCTTGTGAGGAAACACAGCTTGTGGCACAGCTAGGCATATCGGCTTCCTCTCCTATGTTCATGCTCCGCTATACGGCATGGCATCGACATCGCGCATGACAGAGCTATTCTTGCAGGTCCCCCCCTCATCGCATCACAGACCCCTTTCTTTCACAACTACTACGCTCGGGTCAACCCACTCATCAGCATCGTACCGCATCGCACCGCATCTCGCCTTTCCTCTTTTTTCCAACGAACGGCGTCGGCGAGACACGAAAGGGCCGGACAAGAATAAGAGCGAGAGCCGAACACGAGATATAAACAATCGCAGTCGAGTCTCGGCCGGTCGACTTCACGTCTCGATCCTATATGACTATGTTCGAGAACAGTCCTTATGTTTATCATATTCGAAGCGATGCACCGGCATATCTCAGACATGTTTTGTTAAACTCACAAGTTCGCACGACCGTGTCTACAGCATCCATCCACAGGCAAAACCGCACATCTACGTCTCGAACAGCCAGCTTGCGAACGTTGCACTTAAAAGCGCACTATACAATTGAGTCATAATCGTAATGCTTCTATCGCGGTATCCCATTTCCAACAACAACACATTCACCCGCCAACCGTAACGAGCGCAGAGTACTGTTCCATTGCTCAGCAAAAACAGGCTAACCAGTGCAGTTCCCATTCCCTTCCGTTCCACCTTTCCACCATTCCACTCACACCCTCTATAAATACGCAGCACTCAGCACCTTCCTCACCGCGTTCTACCGCGTCTTCTTGATTTCCGTCGCCCATCCCTCGATGCCCTCGCCCTTGCTACCAACGGGGATATTCAAATCCACACCCTCCATGCCTTTTGTGTCTTTCAAGAATTCGTGTCCTGCCATTCCGCCCGCGTTGGCGCGGTCGACGGGTAGTAGTTCCAACATGGGTAACAGGAAATCGGCAATCTTCTTACTCTCCTCTGAGCTGAAATGATATTTCTCGTGGAGGACGTCGGGAAGGGCCCAGTGTCGTAATCGGTGAATGTTACGCAGCTCGCCTTTGCGGTTGAATATCTCCTGTGACCATTTTCCCGACATGCAGAGGCCCTTCGGGAAGGTGCCTAGTAGCTCGATGATTTGTGCGATATGGTCGTCGTCTTTGCCGTACTTGGTGCCGGATTGTGGGTCGAAGAGGTAGTCGCCGGTGATCAATTCGAATGTCTGGTATTGTTAGTTTATGCTTTTCCAATTCAGTCGGGTCCATACCATCGCGGCCATACTCCAGACATCGGTACTGGCACCCCATTTGCTACCCAGGATAACTTCTGGTGACCTATATTGCCTGGTCTGGATGTCGTTGGTAAAGTGGTGTCCAACCCAGCAGGCGTTTCCAAGATCTGCAATCTTGACTGATATGGTTTCGAAGGCGTTTTCGACTTGCTGCTCGAGCTCGGTTTTTCCGGACGAGCTGCTGGGTTTATCGAGGCTAATGCCCGATACCTCCTTAGTAAGGAGATCACTAACAAGATTAGCATATACTCGAACATGGACACGAGATAACTTACGCGGACTTTTCTCGTTGCTTTTGCGCGTCGTCGTCGCTCGACTTTATTCCGAGCCGTTCTGCCATGGACAGGCTGGGGCCGGCAGATGGAGTTGCTAGAGCACCACTCATTACGACACCGTCTGACGAAGAAGGAGGACTCGGGATAGTCGTGGGGGAGTCTTTACCTGTACCCTCGCTCATAACCTTGTTGAGACTTTGTGTGTTGCCGGGGAAGCTGGAGAGCTCGGCGTGGTTGAAGCTCGCGTTGAGCGGGCTGGGGAGCGGCTGACTGCCTGTGATGAGGGTCCTCCGTCTCCGCCTGCCGTTTCTAACGCTGTCTTCGCTGTCCTTCTTCTTCGGTTCGTCTTTTACGTATGTTTTCACGATCTGCTCGACGTCGCCGATTTCAATGAGAACATTCTCAGGCTTCAGGTCGGTGTGGATGATGCCGCATTCGCGATGGAGGTAGTCGAGGCCCAGCAAGACCTGCTTTGTGATCTGCTTGACCAGCGGCATTGGTATGCCGCGGTGGTTCCACCTCTTGATCAGGCCCAGTAAATTCTCTCCTAGCACCTCAAACACCATGCAGACGTGGACGCCGTTCGGGCCCTTGTGGTTGAAGGAATCGAGGAGGCTGACGACATGTTTCCGGCCGGGGTGGTTCTCGTTCGCGTCGACCACCTTCTTGAGGAGCTTAATCTCGTCGAGGGCGGTCTCGGTGTAGTGCGCAGCGGAGCGCACGACCTTGAGGGCGACGTGCTTGCCGCTGGTGTTATCCCTCGACAGCCAGACGGTCGAGAAATGGCCCCACCCAAGCTTGCGCACAATCGTGTACTTGCCGTCCTTGTACTCCTCGCCGACCTGCACCGGGTGGTAGCCGCCCTTGCAGTAGTCCTCCGAGTCCTCCTCGTCGGCTGTGTTCTCGGCCTCATCGACCGACGACGACGACGAGTCGGGCGAGTGGCTTAATTGGTTTCCGTACATCTTGTGCTGGGCGAGCGGCGAGTTGGCGTTCTGCACACTGCGGGGTTGAGGTCAGTATAAGGTTGCGGCAGTCAGGGCATGGCGGGCGCATTAAAATAAGTGAAAGAGGGGGGCGCAGGCTGGGCGGGCGGGAGGGGTGAGGCTGCAAGCGGTGGTGGAGGGTAGTGGTTGCGGGTGGTGGTGGTGGTGGTGAACGTACTTGTACTGAAAGGAGCCCGTCGAGCCAGCGGGCGAGGCGTTCTGGTTGCCCTGGTTCTCCGTGGTGATGATGGGCTTGAGGTCCTGGCCCTTCCGTCGCTTCTTGCCGCCGTTGCTGTTGGCAGCCTGCGCGACCTGCTTGGCCTTGTTGATGGCCGCCTTCTTCATGTCGGTGCCATTCATGGTGGCTTTCCCCGCCACGCGCTGGGCTGTGGGCGGGACTGAGGCTCGAGGGCTGCTGGGATGTGCGTGTGCGGTTAGGCGCTCCGGACGCGTTGGGCAGCGCTCATGGGCAGACGCAGACTACTTGGTATGGGCTTGCAGGTGTATAGCGAGGGCAGTGTGGCTCTTCTGTCGCACTGCCTCGCGATTTCTTCAATTGCTGGACACGGGCTTAGCGCTCCCCTCGCCAGCCTATCGATGTCGGCGCTCTGATTGGTGCTCTGGTGGGGGTTTGCACGGGTGCGCGATGCTGCGACAACCACGGGAGATGACTCGCTTGGAGAGATGCGTGATTAATCAAGTCGGACTCGCTTCCCGGAGAATTCGATGCGACTTGGGATGATGATAGAGATGGTGACGGATGGCTGGAGCGCGTCAAAGCCGGAGGAAGCGGTAAGGAAGCAGGCCAGACGAATTATGACATCAGTCGACGCCTACAAATAGTCGCCTGCTACCACATTAGTTCGTCCACGCAACCTTGGAAGCCAGTTTTGCCCAAAGCCTTGCGTCTTGTTAATTAGCGCACCGAGCACCTTGCCTAGACATACCGGCCCGGTACCAGTAGAAGCTGCCAGCTGCTAGGAATGCTTGTTGTTGCGACCCGATCTGCAGCACACGTGGGATGTCAACATCAGCATACCGACTGCACCTGAGGACCCTGGACCGCATCATACCACATCATCTGTACCTTCCAAATAACATTTAATAGCGCACCTAGGATGTATCATCTGTGCCTTCCTATCTAGCTCTCGCTACCAATGTCTGCAATGGAAACGCCTATTCGAGAAAGAGCTATGCTCAGCCCAACCTGTAGGGCAGGCAGGAGCAGCCCTCACAACCCACCACTATATAATACATCTGCATCCAATCCCGACTCCGAAAGAAGAAACCGCTATGCAAAACTATAAATGCCCCATATCCTACATTCGCGCGCCATCCATTAGCAGCCCTGTAACACCTGACCTGCGCGTCACGCTCAAAGCATGCATCTCGCATATCCCTCATTGCGGAGAGCCGCATCCCACCACCACCACCCCAACTACAACCACTACTTCGCACTCACAGCAGCCATCCACTTCTGCTCATCCTGCTTATCGAAATGCAGCAGCATGCCCAGCACAGGAATAAGCTGTTGCTGATACTTCTT